AAAGTATTTGTCTAGACTAGCTTTGTTCCATCACTTTAAGTAGGTTTGTTTTTCAATAGGTTAAATTATTTTATATAATTATTTGTTTTATCGAGTTATAATAAATTGCTACAACATACAACAAAAAGCATGAAAGTTCTGAGAAAAAGCAGAGGTAACTGTTCATACATTACTGCTACATTTAGACACATATTCTTCAGCTTTGTAGGATTCATTATTGCATCACAATAAATTTACCCACTCCAAGATTGTTGTTAACAGTAATACCGTAAACTTTGGCCTCAGATTTCAAACCTGTAATGCTCTGTGGTTTATAAGTGCGCCATACCGTGGAGGAAATATATACTAGGCGCCAATACTTGGGTTACCCGATTCAAATTGAGTGCGGCTTATAGCGCGCCGCGTTATTACGCGATCATATACGGTAGTTGTAGTCCCAACAGCCACACGCACAGCGTGTAGTTTGTTATTGACACACGTAACTACATCGCACCGGTGTCCAATGACTGCAGCGAGTTATGAGGGTTGCCATCCAGCGGCAGCTTCAGCATCGACCTTGTCTGCAGTTCTGTGAGCGGCGTAGAACTTCTTTTCTGCGAGAATTTCCTTGTCGATGAATAATTGCGAAGGCTGAAAAAAAAGGAGTATTTTTGTCGAGCTGCTCTGCGAAAGAAACAAATCTCAACAATAGCTGGGCGCTGTTAAGCCGCGTTACAAAAACCGCGCACGCGTCAGCAACTGCAATTAACATACCGATGATATTAGCGATTCTTCCGTTGTGACGGTAACAACTGGCATCGAGACGGGATTCTAAGTGCCAGCATTAATTCCAATGTTGCCTATCAAAATGCGTAACCCGTATAACGAAACTTCCAATGCAGTTTGTTGTGTGATCTGGTATTCACAGCTTACACGCCCAAGTTCGATTTAAGCAATTGGGGTTGAGTTATGGAAGCGTTGAAATTATTGAGTGTGGCAACACTTCATAAATAAACGCTTGTAAATGCTACCATTAACCCGTTTTATGCAAAAACTGTCCGTTTAATTCATTTTCGATAGCCGCACACCAGATTAACAGTAATCTATCTGTGTTTTTATGCACTCAAGTCTCATTACAAAAGATCCATACATTCGCATGGATTGTTTGTTTATAGCAGCCCTGCGGGGGGGGGGGGGGGGGGGGGCGGGGGGGGGCGGGGGGGGGGGGGGGGGGGGGGGGGGGGGGGGGGGGCGGGGGGGGGGGGGGGGGGGGGGGGGGGGGGGGGGGGGGGGGGGGGGGGGGGGGGGGGAGGGGGGGGGGGGGGGGGGGGGGGGGGGGCGTGGGTGGGGGGGGGGGGGGGGGGGGGGGGGGGGGTGGGGGGGGGGGGGGGGGGGGGGGGGAGGGGGGGGGGGGGGGGGGTGGGGGGGGGGGGGGGGGGGGCGGGGGCGGGGGGGGGGGGGGGGGGGGGGGGGGCGGGGGGGGGGGGGGGGGGGGGGGGGGGGGGGGGGGCGGGGGCCGGGGGGGGGGTGGGGGGGGGGGGTGGGGGGGGGGGGGGGGGGGGGGGGGGGGGCGGGGGGGGGGGGGGGGGGGGGGGGGGGGTGGGGGGGGTGTGGGGGGGGTGGGGGGGGGGGGGGCGGGGGGGGGGGGGGGGGGGGGGGGGGGGGGGGGGGGGGGGGGGGGGGGGGGGGGGGGGGGGGGGGGGGGGGGGGGGGGTGCGGTGGTGTGTGTGTGGGGGTGTGGTGCGGGGGGGGGGGGTGCGCCGGGGGGGGGGGGGGGGGGGGGCGGGGGGGGGGGGGGGGGGGGGGGCGGGGGGGGGGGGGGGGGGGGGGGGGGGGGGGGGGGGGGGGGGAGGGGGGGGGGCGGGCGGGGAGGGGGGGGGGGCGGGGGGGGGGGGGGGGGGGGCGGGGGGGGGGGGGCGGGGGGGGGGGGGGGGTGGGGAGGGGGGGGGGGGGGGGCAGCCAGACAAAAAGACTGGCACGCGCTTTTTGGTCCGTTTGTAGTTAAATAGCCATATGCTGCCAATACTATCAAACCAGGAACCCGGTGTGAATGAGTACAGCCCTATAGATCCGAAGGTCAGGCGGATAGACAAAGTCTGAAGAGACAAAAGGTTATGGGTTCAGGTGTAAATGATGCATTTTCTCGAATGCGTGGGCAAACGCATCCGGAACCGGTCGCTAGCCTCCAGGGCTACGCGATCCGACATCACTCACACAGTGAATCTCGCAGACTGGCGATACACGAATGATTTGCGCAACGGGACAATCGTATCTCTCTCACACAGCTCCACACCTCTCTTCCTCTCTCCACCGACACACACGCACACACACACACGCACACGCACGACGCAACACGCACACGCACACGTCACACGCCACACGCACACGCCCACCACACACACGCGAACACACATCACACACCTCTTCTCCTCTCCTCTCTCTGTCTCGCACGCACCGCACGCACGCGACGCACGCCACGCCACGCAACGCACCACACACACACAACACACACACGCATCAGCAGAGCCATTCCCCGTTGCCAACCATCGCGTGTGTGTTACGCTGTCGCAAGATTTACCCTGTTTATTACCATGCAATATTCGGTCCATTCGGCGACCTTCAGTCTTTATAGGGATGAGTCCCCGGGTGAATTAATAACGACTAGTCCTATGCAGCACCATGTTCAGGACGCTTGATTAGACTACCATTGCAGGGGTCCAGTAGCTTGACAGCACTTGTCTTTCCATGCACATCTTGGTTGATTGTGTGTATAGTTTCATCCTTGAACTGTGTCACGGGTAAAGGGAGAGCGCGACGAGTGACAAGCCGCATATACGTCGGCGTCAGCATGCGAATACTGATCGCGCTCTGTATCGTACATTGATGTAGAAACAATATTTCTACTGAATTCTACTTATTTTAGCACATGCGAAATCACAAGTAAATGTGAGGTAACTGTATGGTACATATAACGTACCAAATACTGTTGTATTGTAAAAAGCCAAATAACTGAAAGTGTGTATAATCATTGCATACCAGAAGCCTGCCATTCAGATTTTATATAATAATAACATAATCACACTCATAGTGCACACGCGACACACAATGCTGGACATAGCGGATGAGTACAGCCAGTTTCAGCTTTCACGAGGATTTCAGCTTTCTAGGACCTGGTTGTTTGCGGTTGAGAATGAAAAGTCTTCGGGTGTTGCTAGGTGACGGGTACCACGCCATACACGTTGGCAACAGCAGAAGGGTCACAGCAGCCAGGTTTGCTCCAACCTAAAGCCGCTGCTCTGCCACAGTGATTAGATCATTCTCCTCGCTCTTCTCCAAAGTCGTATTCGAACCCTGCGCAGACATCCAACAAAGCCATCCAGGTGTACTTATCCATTGTCGGCGATCTACTGGCATGTCTTAGGTATCACAATTCACCGACTAGCTGGACAACTTGCAGCCTAATATCTGTCACAAAATGAAATAATTATGGGGCCGTTGAACACGTTCTTGCGTGTCGGCCACAATACTGGACCCTCCTTTACTCGCTCTCCCTTCACCACGCCATATGAACCCTGTCACGTGCTGTTTAAAAACTATCGATTGCAGTGCGACTCCTGTCCATCACCGTAGTATACGTCCCGCTTCCGGCCCCCCCCTCGCCTATACGCCTTTGTGAGCAGGAAAACACGCGCACTGGTCGCACCCGATAACCCTGTCTTCTCCGAGAGACAATCAGACGCTGGGAAATTCGAATCTGCTTTCACGCCAAACATGATCTGGCAGCACGCGTTTGAGTGATATGTGCGCCCTCTGCCGGCCAACCGTACGCACCACGACTCGCCCTTCGTCTCCAGCGTTGCTGACTCTGAACAAGGTCACGGCCAGCGATCTTCGTTCCTCGAGTGGCAGAAGAGCTAATGTGAGAGGACTTACTAGCTATTCAACACGTGCAGTATCCCGACCTTAGGAGGTTAGACGCATTAGCATGCATGCCATTGCAAATAGCGCAGCATTTGAACTGTGGCCTACAACAGAGAACACTGGGATGTCTGAGTCACCGAGTTATACCTGCTAAGGATTCTATAAATATAGCACAGAAAAAAGGCACCCGAGTTATGGGTGCAAACCTTCCTTCTATTTCCAGTACTACCTTTACCTCGTATGTCAGCACATTATATTTTAAAGATCTTAAATGAATCTCACCACAAGTGGCGGGGATTTCGTGACAATGCATTAATTATCAAGAGCTAATAATTACCTACGGAGCTGTACATACGGAAAAAATAAACGGGAAATTAGACTGCTATTTCACCACAAACATTATTCGGACTTGCCTTGCGAGTCCTATAATGAATTTCATGTATTGCATAAGCAAGAATTCTTGCTCTCTAAACAAGACAACCGCTTGTTCAATACAGTACTCATGGCGGAGATATTCGGCTCCTAAACCTCCCTTCCCACATGCCAAAACGCCGCCTCGATTCCACCTTCTGTCAACGCCATCCTTCACAGCGGGGCTAAGGCGTTAGCTTCGTGATGAGTCGGTTTTTCCGCTCATAATTTTATGAATGACTTTCGGGGGCATCGCCTATGCCCTTACCTCCCATTAATCTTTCCTTAGCACGGCTACATGCCGTCCAGATGGAGCGCAATGTTTTTTTTAATTAATTCTCTACAACGCGCTAGAAGAGTTACCAAATTTGGGCATTGCTGACAATTCAATTTATCAGCGCCCTCCAAGCTGGTGACGCGAAACGCATAGACCGAAATGCTTTAGACGCGTGAAGGACATGGGACCAGAAGTGGGATTCGAGGCGGCGGTTTGGCATGTGGAGGGGGAGGTTTCAGGAGCACCAGATATTCTCCGCCTAGGAGTGGATCGGTATTGACAAGCGGTTGGTCTTGTTTTAGAGAGCAAAAGAATTCTGCCTTAATGCGCAATTACATGAACAATTATTTATAGCTCCGGGGGGGGGGGCAGGGAAAGTAGAATAATGTTGTCGTGAAATCAGCACTATTTTCCCGTTTTGCCGTTGTACACTCTACGGTATTATTAGCTCTTGATATATATATATATATTTATTTATTTATTTATTTATTAAAATATATAGAGAGCCTACATTTTTGACCCCAGTATTTGAAGGCAGACCATATTTCCACTGTTGCGACGGTAGTTTTCCCCCCCGAACTTCGGAGAACAACAGCACTGACATGAGTTAGGCCGCCTTCTGGAATATGGAACTGCCTCCCCGGCCTCCGCCTCATTCAAATCCAGTGTTACCGCATCCAAGATGCTCAGCTTCCCATTGTGAAATCCAACCGCTGAAGAAACGAAGCATTAAAAGCAGTATAGTGTGACGAGTGTTTAGCTAGAAATGGCACACCTACGATTACGCAGTACAGAACAGTGGATAATCTATGTCAATTTGATGGGATCTGTAACTATACCTTTGCGGCCACCTTATTTATCTCTGTCAAAATGTCATAATTCACAGCAAAAACAAAATCCACAACCCACTTATATACACCACTACTATTACCACTACGACTGCTCTACCAGTACTGACTATACTATAATTGTAGATATTATAACTCATGGAACGGGTTCCTGGAATGCATTACTATTATATACGCTGCTATTATACGGGCATCACAATACGAAATTACCAGTATTTCATCTCTGAAAAACCCCAGCAGATGCTACCTGCAGAGCTTACTATGTATTGTCCGCCGTAGTGGTCAAGGCTTAAGCAGTTAGTGTTCGCCCTGCGTTCGAAGTGTCTCTCTACAACAACCTGCTGCGTTTCATAGTCCCACAACTTCAAGTGGCCAGACTTGGTCCCAATACAGATTTGAGATCTAATATATATAAATAAATCAATAAATCAATATATCTATATCTATATCTATAATAATATTATATACTATACTATATATATTCTACAGACAGCTCATAATTTTAGAGGAGAGAGTATGACACCGTTCTTTTAACAGCGTTTTGCATTAGTTTTTTTCCAATTTTTGTATAATATTTTTTTTTCACACACACACACGCGCACGCACGCACACAGCACACATACACGCACACACACGCACGCACGCATGCACACATATATATCAACCACGAAACCATAGATGCATATGGGCGTAAAGGATGACGATATCCATACGAGGGTTCGCGCATGAGTAGGCCGTAAAAAGTCCTGTAACAGCTTTAGCTCAAATGCTATTAATATGTTAGGATGTTCACTTTAATAGATGCTACGCAGCATTCACTTCACTTTGATGTTTAGTCTATCCATCACATATGCTCTCGCCTGCACGCAATTACACATTGCAAATTAGATGTGCGTCTTCCATTATTATTCAAATGAATTTGTGAGCAAATATAGATAATTAACCGCGCAAACGGTTACATTGGATCAGCAGTGTATGCTCGTCGGCGCGTGAATTCACGAGAGCACGCGACGTAAGAGGATCATGAAATCCTTTTGCAATCATATGCTGCTCTTATGATGGCTTTTCATAACAGCTTTCGTTGCGTGATCAATGGAAACTCTAAATTACACTCGCGACTAATTACTTTAAATCCTCAAAATGAAAACGGCGAGCGTACACACCGTTTATTCGTGCGTGTGTCTTTCTTATCGACAGAATCCTCATTCTGCTCATAACCATACATACTGCATACACTTCAATTCAAACATGAGCCTATATATATATATATGCTCATGTCATTAAAGCCTGGGACACACCATGCGAATTTATTCGCACGTCCGCGGCGATCATATCCGCAGCAAAAATCGCGGCGAAAATATTCGCACCCGCGTGCGATAATTGAGCGGACACACCATGCGAATTTATTCGCACGTCCGCAGCGTACACACAACACGCGGCCTATATCGAGCTTCTGAGAAGGGACGGGTACCAGTGTATATTCGCACGTCCGCAGCGAAAATATCAAATATGTTTGATCGCTGCGAATTTCGGTGCGGATGAAATTCGCAGCAAAATTCGCCCGCGCTTGAGCGTACACACCATGCGAATTTCGCTGCGATTTCACAATCGCTGCGGAACTGCGAATAAATTTGCATGGTGTGTCCCCCGCTTAAGGTATCCTTGTTGTTACACACATAACATGCACATCAGTTACATCATTTTTTTTTAGAAACGTGAACCGCAATGACAATGATTAATTATTCAACAACTTTATACTCACTTGGTTCATCACAAGTGAGTATAACATCAGTCCACTATATGCATCCAACTACACAGCCACTGACTTCCTGCTATACTATCTCAATGCCCAGACAATGCATAGATGATCTACAATCATTATCTAGACATCACACTACTAACCTACTCACCTCTAGCTCCCACCTCTGAAATCCTCACAAAAAACCTACTTGCAGTCGCATAAAAAACCCACTCACCTCGCGTTGTGTGGGGTAGTACCCCAGCGCCCTCATCACGTACGGAATTTGCTCCACTTTCATCGTACTGGCTACTCTGTGAACGTCCATCGTCCTCAGGCCCTGACTATAGCACGAGACCCACAGACAATAAAAGAGTGCACGGTCCCTTTATACATCGCACGCACCAATCCTGGTGATTTAGCAGTAATTTTCACACAGAAAATAATTTTTTACATATGAACTCACCCTAAATTTTATTACAATGCACCGAAAGCCACATCTATATCTGTTTTTGCTACATGACCTGTCGAGTCCCAACACCAGTAATAACTCGCATCATACTTTTCAGGATAATTTAATCATGAAAGGCATCCCGTAATTGCATCAAAGCATGAAATGTTTGCGATTCTAGTTAACGATGCATTACAAGCAAGACGCGTCTCTTGGCGCACCCCAAAAAAATAATTGATAATTAAAATTTATAATAAGTATATTTTATAATTAGAATTTTAAAAAATGATCGATAATAATTTAAATTAGATCGTTTGAGAGGACATTTATGCTGAGTAAGACGAGTATGACTTCGCTGCACAACGTACAAACCCACTTATATCCATTACCTTCTTATCTGGGCATAGTAGAAGAAATTCTCCATCTCTCGGAATAGAGTGCCGGACTGGCCACCTTCCAGCAGGTCGTAGAATGGTACGATCCCCAGACCGCCTAGATGGGAGGCTGCCTCTAACACACTGCTCGCAAGTAATAATCACATCGTATTATTATTCCCTCGGTCGCTGCGCAATTAAAGGCGTGATAGGAGTCCTATCCTATCCTATCCTATCCTAGGAGTCCTATCCTAGCAGTCCTATCCTATCCTATCCTATCCTAGGAGTCCTATCCTACTTATCATCAGGAACACGATGGCAACACAGCTAAAATCAGCTGCTATAGTCGCCGTGAGCACACATTTATCTAGCATGCTAGAAATACGTACAACGCCTGAATACATATTCGATGCCTAATATCCCCAACAGCCCCAGCGTTCTGTCATAGAATAGAACACTAATCCGATAATAAACTTGCGCCGAATACATGCGAACATTTGGGAAAACTGTGGTGAAACCGTGTCGTATTCAAAGTACTTTTTGAAGAACACATACGATTTTGAGGTAAATTGGTGGTGTCATATGATGAAGGGAGAATCATAGATGAAAACAAGGTAAAGGTTGAATATATTTATTCACATATTGATAGAATATTTACAAGTTGAAAACTATGCAAAACGCTGTTAAAACGGGCATACTCTTCTCTATTATGAGCTCTTGATATATATATATTATAAATGTCATGCATCTATAGTGAAGGCAGAAATATCAACAGCCAGTATAGGAATAGGACACTATGAACAGGACGTATGACTTTCACCATAACCAATTAAATCTTACTTGGCTGGGTGAGCATGGATAGCCTGTACTAGCGACGTCCCTCTTTGCAGACAACTCTACTTGTGAGCTATCACCGTTGACAATGGCTACCGCAGCCGAAGACGACGTGACAATGAAGGGTTATCCTTGAATTCCCCACTGTTCTCCCTCCTCTTCATCCCTAAAAACATTCACGCG